GTTTTTTCCATTCTCATATGTTAACAAATATCATGTATCTATAAAGAAGTATCAAATATTTGCAAAATTCTTGCTTAGATAACATTATCCGTAAGTAATTTTCTTGTTCCTCGCAGTTTTAAAGCATATTAAATGTTACAACCATTAGACATAACAATGCTTAACACACACCGAGCTGATACAATGCTGGCATGTTTTTCAGAGGTACTGGCTATACTCAGCTTTCACTGACTTTAGCCTCATGTGCATGCTCAGCACTTCTAAAATACCAGACTCTCAAAAGTCAGCTCTCCTCTTTTTCTTTTTTAAAGCTCTTCAAGGATGTAAATAAGTAGATTTTACAGTCACTGTTCTGTGCATATATAAATCACTGCTATTCCAAATCTTCACATCACATAGATTCATATATAACAACAACTAATGCTGTATTTGAAAGAAGATTATCAGAAGACATGTTATCTTGAAAATTTATGTCTTTTACAGATTATTCAAGTGTTACTGGAAAAATTATTACAAACCAAAAACAAACAAACAAAAAAATCACTAAAATCAAAGGGATTTTTATCATCAGTCCCAGTGAAAGAACACTGGACTCACTAGCCATTGATTCAAATGCAACTAAGTCAATAGGAATCTTTCAATTGGCTTTCCATTCAGCATTAAAGCCTAAGACATGTGAAGTACTCAAAAGAGAATAATAAATTCATTTATCCTACGACTGCAGGTTTTCCTCTGATATGCTCACACATGGAACTCTGATCCTCTATCCAGTTTTACTTTGAGTTATTTCTGTTCACTTGAAGGAAGGTCATTATACGTGCATAAATTAAAGCTGTCTAGATATAACGTACATTAGAACCTAACAGAGTGTGCTATTAAAAACCTGGTGCAGAAGATGACTGCATTTGTGCAAATAGGAGACTGAGGGAGTGGAGTACAAATAACAGTCCTCAACAGTAGGCCAAAAGCTCCAAGAAATGTATCCATTGAGAGGACTGCAGACTTTTCCATGAACTTCCAGCTGAAAATCCACACCACTTCACATCAGTATTATTTTGCTTTGCACAAAAATAAACATTTCATTTGGAGATACTAAATATTTCACTAATCTAGAAAAAAATTAAGTGAAGTATTCCCTATACAAAAACTACATATAGCCAAGGAAAAATGGGGAAACTTCCTTTTCAGCCAAAACAATTTTTGAACCAAAGATGACACAAACTCAAAAAAAAACTTTCAATTGACTTTGTCCATATCTTTCTCATGGAAAAAGTTTATAATGGAAATGCCTTTCCTGTAATGTTTATTTTAATAGATGTAGTATATAAATAGATGGGACAAAGAGCACAGACTGAATTTATTCATGATCCACAACCCAATTTTCCATAAGACATTCTGTATTTCCTCTCATAAGCCTGTTCTCCTCAGTCATTAATCATAACTCGGAAAGATTTACAAACACATTTTGAAAATCTAAATACAATACTGATTAATGTATCGTGCTAATAATGCTACATCTTCAGAATATTTCAAGCTAATGAAGTGTGACATATACGGAAAATATTCAGACTGAATATTCTTAATCAGACTTCTTCAGATAAGATTATCACATCTTTTAAAACAGCTTCCCATGTTGTTTTTTTCATCACAATATTAATTCTTCTGGTTTTCACTTTCTCCATTGTATATTTTCTAATAATATTAAATAGAATCCCATACAAACTATTCACAGTCTATGTTGAGTTTTAATTTCTTTTTATTTTTGTACTGGTAGAAATCTATGCCTTTTGTCTCCACTAATAGAGCAAGCAGTATTTGTGTTGTATTGGAGGATGCCAGCTTACTGTATTATCAGCGTTGCCAGAATTTTTTTTAGTCCTTTGGGCCCTTTGTCTAGTTCTACTTTGCTCCTCACCATAGAAAAGTAGGAAATTTGAGGCTTCAACAGCACAGTGCTTGTGAAAGACAATGACGCATGTATATGTATCTGCTTATCTGTCTAATGACTTGGCAGAGGAGAAGAAAAGCCAAGATAGGTATGTGATTCACTGACAGAATTACGTCAGGGCTTCACAAATGGGTGAAAAAGTCAAGCACAGAAGTGTACATGGTAGGTAATGAACACTGCATTAACAAGCTGCCATCTTTTTCCTCTTGGAATGGAAATGGATGCAGATCAAGCCAAGAGAAGGGGAAAAAAGAAGGATTACAGTAAGAAAAAAAAAAAAAGAAAAAAAAAAGGAGAATTATAGGAATTCTCAGAGATATTTGTCCTTTCATCTGTCAACAGGAGAAGAAAGTTGAAAAACAGACAACTGAACTTTCAGGCACAATATCTATTTCTACTTGAACTAGATCTTCCAGCAGAAACTGCAACAAGAGATTACTTCACTTATACAACAGAAGGCAAGTGATAGCTGAGAATGCAGACTTCTGAATATCTGGGTAAATAAATCAAACACCCCTTTCTTGAAGCACAGGAATGCACGCATATTATACGCACAACTACCCTTTTACATCTAGACTTCTACAGTACATGCGATGATAGTTTACTGTCTTGGAATTTAAAATACTTGTACTGGAACTGTTAAACATCTGGTGGCAATACAGAATACACTTTTTTGCAATGTTTCTACTATTAACAATTGTTATCTCGGGAGGTTAAATGATCACTTAAAACAAATGTGTTTCTAATCTAACATTATAGCTGTGATTCAGATGATCAAGTAGCAATTTTCCAAATCAGAATTCGTTATGCTCTTGATTTCCTTATTAGGTTTACATCATTTTTAAGTAAACAGAATAATAAAAAGGGCAAGCACACATTAGAGTACCATAACCAGACCTGTAATTTCCTCTTTCGCTGCTAGAATGAAGAAAGAGCAAGTTCCCTCACAGCACTGCTCTGAAATGTCCCAAACAAGCACCCGTCTCAACTTGCTAGTGAAGACTATGATCAAGTTACTTAAAGCAATAGTTCGAAACCTTCTTCTGAATGACACAACCCTCCTATGATTTTTATACCAGCTACTTGAATACAGTTAATGTCAACTACTAAAAAACTTAATTCTAATAAATTATTTTTCAAATATAGCAAGTACATGAGCCTCTCTACTTTCTTTCATTTTTACAACTACAATGCTTCACAATATCATCACAGAAAAACTATAGTTCTACTGACTTTAATACGATTCATGGCACCAGGTACAGAGCATTTTTGAAAATACTGACTTCAAACTTCCTCTTGAATACTATTCTTGTTTGAAACACACTCTCAGATACTACAGCCTATCAGTTTTCCTAGCTTTATCTAAATTTAAAAAAATCTTGCCAGATATCAGGATTTCAGGTCAATCCCATAGTGTCTCCACTGTAGAGAGAGAACAAAGAGAAGGAACTCACAGAAGGTCAAGCTTTATTCTAAAGAACTCTCTCTACAGTTGCCACGGATTTTGCTCTGAACCACAGAGGGTTTAGAAAAAGATTCTCAAAGCCTGTGGCAAAGATGGAGGAGGCCACAATCAACTCAGAGTAAGACACTTAAAGTAGTTTCAAAAGACTGAGGAAAGGTAAATGACATTTTTCTCTGTCTCTACTAAGGTGATAATTTTTCTGAAAATAGAAAGCTTTCTATTATTCTTGTATTTATACTATCTGTTGCTCCTGCATGAGTTTAAACAAGCTACACGGGTAAAAGCAACACTTAAGACTTGGCAATAATTATTGCATTTTGATCTTCAACTCAATTTTGAATCCAATGTTTTGTTTTAAAACAGAAAAACTCAGTTGGACAGAAGATCGAACACATTTTATCATTTTGGTAGATTTAAGGTATAGTAAATCTACAAGAAATGCATTCCTTCATATGCTAATGATAACATTATGAGAGGAAAGCACCATTGTTCTCCACAATGAGTGGAATTCGTCTCTGGTTGTAAAGAGAAATGATAGCTAGACACCTGATATTTGGCATGACTTAAGAAAACAAGCTTTTATGCTTTGTTCACACGTTTAAACCAAGATCTTACAATATCAGTCAGATGTTTTGCCCATGTGTTTCAAGGTAAGAGAAGACTATACGCAACATCTGATTTATATTTCAGGCCTTCTTTCTTTGTTTCTTTGTCATTGGTAAATAAATAGACATAAAAGCCACCTTGGTCCACCATGCAAGAGAGCCTTTACAGAAAAAAAAAAAAGTGTGGAAGACTGAATACCATAACTTCCCTCTTGTTTTCAAAATGATCACTGCAGAACGTTTTCTGAGGGTAAAAGTGTAATTGGTTATAGATCAATAAGTAATTGCATTCAGAAGGAACTATTCCATTTAGGAAAATAGTGAGATTCTTAAGTTAAAATCATCCTAATACACTTAACAAATTTGAGAGTAATCTAAACAACAACATTTTATATTGCCCTAGTTATGTTTATCACAACTGATCATTTATTTATGCTGTCATAAAAATCCAGATGCTTTCAATTTTGATTGCTAGTTATTTGCTTTAGGGCAGCTGAAATCACTTTTTCAGACTTCCTAGCTCGATGGTATTGCTTTCTGCTTACAATTTATCATCACAATGAAACAGTGAAAACAGAGGATAATTCTAGCATTAACAGAAAGCACAGTCAATTGTGATACGCTGTATTTCCTTCAGAAGATTCCAGATTAAACCCTCTGAAATTAATGCACCTTCTTCTGATATTGCTAAATTACAGTTAATGTGATTAGATTCGTGTAGCTGCTATATATGTATGTCACAATACAATTTTTAAATTAAAAGTCATATAAAGAAAACTATGTAGAGTAAGAGGAACATTGAGAATGTTTGATATCCTTTACAGGACTGTATGCTACGAGCCATGATCATCTAGAACTCACTATTGACACTCAAATGTTCATACTTACATTAAAACAAAACACATTTTTAAACAAGCTCCAAACCCACAAATATAAGAACAATTGAGACGTGAATAAATAAGCATTTTTTAGAAATACTCACAATATGCAGCTCTAAATAGTCTCCAAGCCCAGTAGAACTGTCCACTCGTACCAACACGGCTTCTTTTTGAACAGTACTAAACCCTATTGCCAATCTGTCTGCGCGAGTGCTTGGGCGATCATTCGGAGGCCACGTATAAGTGATTTGTCCACCACCTTTGCTAAAGATATACGTTGTTCCCGCTGCAAAGCAGAAATAAAAGAGAATTAATTCTCTGTCAATGCAAATCCAGAAGAAAATTACATACTTCATGAAGATGGTGTTCTTGTATAGGGAACAGAGCCCAACGATGTTATATTTGAACTTGAAGGGGTCTTCATCTCCAAAAATTTTAATCAAGCTAAATATTAGTGCATCTTATAAATTAGAGCATAGTTGCACGCAAAGAGATTTAAAATACCATGGCTCTGATTCAGAAACGTGTTTCTATTCAAAATAGTTATTAAGCATATGCTTGAAGCTAAGAACACATCTTTGTGACGTTCAGAATAAGGACAAATGGAAAAACATGTTTTCCCAAGTTAGGCCTATGTAGAGAAGAAATCAAGTCATTACAGTTATCTCAGCAGCTCCAGATATCAAGCTCATTTACACAAGGAAAATGATATACTGTATATGATATGTCATCTTGCCTAACAAAACAAGACATTAACAAATACATGCAGATAAGAATTTATCTGAGGTTTATCATCTTTTGACAGATGGGGATAACAAATGGAAGAGTGAGAACATACTTTACGTGTCATGTCAGGACAAAAAGATATCAGTCTACAATCTAAGTAATAGCTTACTTGAATAATACTCAATGAGTGGAAATCTTTGCACATCATTTCCAGTGTGCACATACAGAATTTGTAATTTGTTTTGAGCAAGTGTTGTAAGTCTAGCACCACTTAGCACTCAGGTTGCTTAACTTCATCACCAGCATATTGCCTATGAACTAAAAGAGCAGCATATCTGGACATTTGCCATTTAAAACCTCTATCCTTAAAACAGCATACAGAATGCAAACTACGCATGCGCTTGATCTTTCATTTATGAAGTTGCCATAGGCTATCCACTTCTCTATGACATGGAGAGAGAAACAAAGCATAATCAATACAGAAGTCTAGTTTTCCTAGCTATCGTAAGCTGGCTCTCCATCTGGATGTCCTTAATTTTATTTAATGTAATTCTGTTTGTTCTACTAAGTATTCTCAGCACATTTTTTCCATAGTCCCATACAGAGTAAGTACATAATAGTATAATTGTCTTTTTCTTAGCTTTTTTAGATTGACCAAAATGGTGTGAACATAAAAAAGAACTTAAAAAGCCTTAGAGATACAAAATTTAAAGGTGAAAGCAAGAAGTGTTGTATGGTTACACCACTCTTTTACTTTCCAGATGCCTCACAGAAATACTCTACAGCTGACAGAAGTTGTTTTGAGTCAGTCTCAAAAAGTTCATCTGGCCCTTTTGAAAAGATATTGTATATTTACTTCTAACATCAATGCTCTTTATGGAATTACCTACTGGATTTTTTTGTTTGTTTGTTTTTTTACTCCAGTACAATGCCATCAATTTATAATATTTTAAGTGCTAAAGCTCAACTTATATCAACATTATTGCAAGACTGCACCACTCTTCAAATAAATCTCTTGGCTTTTTTCTCGATGGCAAAATACCATGTGTTGTAGGAAAACTTGTCAGCTCTTTCTAGCAAAGACAAATGCAACAACAGATCTAGCATCTCAGGTTCAACTTATGCTACAAAGAGAAATGAAGGCTTATCGGAATTATAAAGAGTTGTGCCGCAAAGCACAGCAAATAGCAGCAAAGTTAAGGGCTGGAACATAAAAAAGCTTGGCAATGGACATGGACAAAAACTGCCTGGTTTAGGAATGCATAGAAAAAAATAAACAAATCCAATATCCTGCTGTTCCATCACTGCATTCCCCAAATGCAGGGATCTGAAATGCACATCAATCTGTCACAGGCACTCCATGGCTGAGTCTCCAGCTCTAGAACAAACCAAAACAAAGATAGATGGATAGGGTAATATCACCCTTACTGGTTTCAAAGTTCTCTTTGCAGCTGATATTGACCTCAAATCTTGAGCCAGTTGAGGAATGGCAGATTTTGGATCTTCATACTGTGTATGTGTCACATTGGTATCTCTAGCGAAAGAATTTATTCTGTTTTTAAGGACTTGATACAAAGCCCATTAAAAACAGTGGCAGCCTTTCTGTTGACTTCATAAAATATTGTATCGTGCCAGAAATGAAATTCTTATAAGAAACAAAATGAGAAGGCTAAGGAAAAACAACTCCTTATGCCTCGATGTCACCAGAGATACTGCTAGAGTACTACAAAAGATTCAAGTGAGAGGGCATTATTCTCCTTTTCTCAGTTGCAACAGATGTGTTTAATTAATGCAAAAGACAAAGAAAAAGCCTGCCAAGCAACAGTGCAATCATATTGAATACCATGACCCAGAAGTAAGTCTCCAGATCAATGACAGACTGTTGTTTACATTGAGAGAGAATCTTTGTCACAAATTTTTGCTAAACGCTGCCCTTGGAATAAACAAATAAAGAACAATTCCATAGTCTTGCTGCATTACTGCCAAGCTCAATGTTAGTAAAGCTGCAAAATCTAGCTGTACATCTTATGCTATGTAGAATTCACATCAAAATTTATAAAGTTATCTTTTATCCAGGAGAACATGTAGCTGATGGTTTTCATGTCGAAGCTTTCCCTTAATTATAGTGGACCATTTTGTAGCTCTTCATATTATCTGTGTGTTCGGTAACAGGCTAATTAACCCGTGTTGATGAATGCAGATTTGCCTTTGTCTAAACTATACAGGGAGACATGTTCTTTGAATTTCCTGTATTAATTATGAAAAAAAATTGGGTCAGAAGCCATTTGAGAATAGGTCCTCTAGTGTTTATGTTTCAAGACAGACAAATATAATAATGTAAAATTTATTACTCTGGGATTGATCTCCACTTATGGTCCAACCACCCATTAACTATTAAAAGCCAGAAATTGTTGTTCAAAAGCACCCTGCTTATGATCAATTTCATACGTGAAGAAACAACAGCTGAAACCTAACTCACTTGCTCCATAAAGGCTTTTATTCTCTCTGAGAAACTTTATAATGTCTCCGCAATTCTTTTATAACATTGTCACTAAAAATCAGCCACCTTACTTCCCTCTTTTAGCTTATAGCACTGTGTTATTGGGGATTTATCATCTCCAGAGAACTGAAAGCAGCTGAATTAGAAAGTCAAGAAAAGCAATGCCATCAGCACAGTACATAAAATCAGGCAACTTTTAACTTGCCGGGCTATATCCCTCAGCCACAGATCTTACTGAGTAATTCTTTGTGTCCATGCATCTACAAAGTGTTTAGGGAAAAAGTGTTCATAAAGCTCTTTGAAATCCTTAACCCTAATGCATGGTTCCCATTGTAACGAACTGCCAGTGGTCAAAGATACAGTAACGGATTTTAATAGCCCGAGTCTCTCACATCCTATTTGTTTGCAAAATTCATCTTTATGAAATAGTCTGTTCATTTCAATAGAGCCTGGCAGCAACTCAAGGACATCTGCTTACCTACACAATATTAAGCAGATAAATATTTTGTTTAGTACCCATTTGCTGTATCTAATGCTGTGTATGACTGCAAAGCCTTTCAGTATTTATTATTCTGAAGTCACATCCGATGTAGTTTAATAGTTTTCTCAAATCAACAGCTTTCTACCTGCTTCGTGCTCATCTCAATGTTATCTTTAAGGAATATTGCACCAAAGGGTAATTTACACAATTCAATTATTCCCATATAACGTCAGTAACTTAATGCTTATTTTCAACAGGAAAATGACAGGTTTAAGATGCTAAGTGAAAGTAATGGTTTTATTGAGGTTTGGATCCCAGGAAACTACGATTCTACCACACTCTACAATGGAAAAACAAAAGAATGAAGCCTGTAAATGTCAATAATGAAAAGTTTCATTCCCTTTTCGTTAATAGTAGTTTATCATTTGTATTTTTATTATTATTTTTTTTTAATATGAAAACATTACTGGTAATAACAAGCAATTGCTCAATAATGTAATTTTCTTCTTTCTGTGCGTTATCAGTATTTGCCTCATTCTGGGCTAAACTGTGAACCCCTTCATTCCCACTGGTAAATAATTACTTGCATTGATAAACCTGCTGAACCCAGTGCCACCATTTATGCAGGCTACTATTAATTACCAGGAATGAAGAACTTACAGTACGAATCTACACATAAACATATGCAGACACATCTACATGGAAGCATTAATCACACTTGCTACATTCAGGGAAGCTAATAAGTCTCCATTTAATACTTTTTATGCTTTCAACTACGTATTTTCTTCCTGCCCCGCTGAACTTATAGAAAATTGCAAAAATTTCCATGCGTATTTTCACAGATTGCTAATGTAAGTAGAAAAAAACCCAAACTTTTGAGTCTAAAACATGATCTTGCCAGAGGGAGAGTGCGTTAAAAAACAATTCTGTATGTTTCCTCTTTGGCTCTGATATGTTATTAATTATTTACATAGAAGAGAGAATACATGCCACAGTGTTGAGGTGAGGAGGGAATGGCCATTAGGGTTAACCATGGGAAGAAGATGGGAAGACCTGCTGGAAGAAGTACTCCAAACTAACGATTAGATTCAATTGAACACTTCCTGAAAGCCTCATGCTACACTCTCTACCCACCCAGCAGGAAGCTGAACGTGGATTGTAACCACTTTGCTTTAATAACTGCACGATGCTACTCTACGTACCATCTATTTACTCAATGGGAAAAAAGTTTTTCAAATGTATCATTGTCTGTAGCCCTCCAAAAATCTTGATGCATAGTTTTAAGAGTGGCCTTTTCAGGCCAGTTTCTCTTAGACTCCTGGACAACACAGTCTAGAATTGTATTTAAGATGTACCTTTGACCACACTCATCTTAGCAAGCCTTAGAAGGTTGCCATTCTCCTGAAAACTGAGTGCATTTTAAAATAATTTCTAACTCCATAGATTGGTTCTTACACCAATCTGTCTGCTTGTTCTAACCATGGCTGTCACTTGCAATCTTACCATGATGGTACGCACTGCAGACTCTAAGTTCACAAACTGAATAGCATTTCTCAGTACTCACACACTCATTCATTGA